CTGGAGGTTCTGAATGCCCTGGCTGAGTCTCTGCCTCTGGCACCACATCCTCTTCAGCCTCCTCGCTGTCCGACGCGAGCGCTGGCTGCGCAGGCTGCTGGCGTGACACTACACCAGCCTCCTCTTCGTCGGGATCAGCCACGATCTGCGCAGACCGCTGGCGGGCCACAACAAGATCTAGCCAAAGTAGATATGTGAACATTTAACATGTATTTTTTTAAAAAAAAGTTCAATTACTCCATTCAATTGTGATCAAGGAGTTGGAGGTTTGCTTTGTTTTTACATAAAGATTGAAGAGCATAGATTACTACTGTGGTAAATATACAAGATTGCTATTGGGAGTTCTTTAGCTCTGAAACTTTCAGCATCAATGGATAGCACTTACTTTACATACTTCTGTAGTGCTAGGTATGAAACACTGAAGATAGATGAACTCTTATACTCATTAGAGATGAGCAAATACCGTGTTTCCCTGAAAATAAGACCCTGTCTTATATTTTTTTGACCCCTGAAATAAGCGCTTGGCCTTATTGCCATGTGCTCAAAAGCCCAATTGGGCTTACTATCAGGGAATGTCTTATTTTGGGGGAAACAGGGTATTTTGGAAGAGTCGTTTTTAGCATTCTAGGGAGCACATATTTAGCAACCCTCTCTAGCTGGGTCTTTTTCCAGAATTAAGTGGCTTCTTCTGGAAGTGGCCAAGTACATCTATCCCTTTTGCTTTGTGAGGAATGCATACTTTGTGAGGAATGCAAAGAGAGCCAAGAGCAACTTAGAAAGCAGACATATTGTACATCTGCCTTAATGAAATAAACATTTGTCTTATACTTGTTCCCTGCATTGTTAAGAGTTTCTGTTGTACAGCCCTAATATTCACATCCAGGGGGAACCAGAAGCGTCACGGCGAGACTGGCTGGAAAATAGCGGGCTTTGACAAGCCTCATGAAAACCCAGCCAGACAAACCATTGTCGGGGGGGTCTTCAGACCGGAACCATCTTGTAGGGATGGCAAAGAAAGAGAGGTGCCTCGGACGACCAAGAGGAACAGGCAAATTCCTCGAAGGGTCAGAGGCAGCTCTTTGAACCGGCGGTGGGGCGGCCATTAAAATGACCGCTCTGGAGCTGGGGCAACCGGACAAAGATTTTGTGCAGGAGCGATGTTTGAATGGAATATTGGTACCGGGGGAGTGATTGGCCAACTCACAGGTAAAAAAGGAATTTTAAAAAAACTTAAAAGAGGTCTCGGTGCGGAAATAAGCAGCTAATTGGCACTTGGGAATTTTAATGGAGGGAGAAGAACAAAGAGGAAGTTAAAGGACTAAAGCCCAAAAAAAGAAAACTTTCTACCTGGACTTAAAATTGGACTTGGAGAAATTAAAGATAATACAGGAAAAAGAAAACCGAGGGAAAGCACTCTTTAATGAAGATTTTAATTATTTGTGATAGTTTTGATATTGGAAGGAAGAACAAAGAGGAAGCTAAAACATCAAAGCACAAGAAAGGAAATTTTACAATTGGATTTAAAATGGAATTTGGAGAAATTAAAAACAATAAAAGGAAAAGAAATTGAAGAGAACGTATTTTTTATGTGGATTTAAAACATTTTTGTAAACGTGTTACTTTGTTGTCTTGGGAATTGTGGATTGGAGAGAGACATCTGCTGGTGGAAAGAAAGCACTGCAACGATTGCTTTGAAAATTGAAGGAACAGCAATGACTTTGACTACCGTGAGGAACTTTACGGAGTATTTGTTTCTTTTTAAATAGCTGGGTCTTGACTTTGAAAGGAGGTGAAGAATAACAAAGCTTTAAATTGGAATGAACTAGATAAATATTTGAACTGGATATTATTTGGAAATAAAAAAGAGAGGCTACATGGACTTGAATCTTAATTAAACATAAATTAAAATATTAAAAAAAATTGAATTGACAATATGGAGCATTGGGAGTATGAGGAATTAATAGAGATGCTTAAAAATGTGCGTGAAGCATTCAAGGGTAATAAAGAAGCAGAAGCCTGGTTAGAATACACAAAAAAGGGAAAAGAGAATATAAATGAGAAGAAAGAATACAATGTTGAAGGGAAAATAATTGAAGATAAAAAGATAATTACACTGGGATTTACAGTTTCAAAAAAAAAAATGGACAGGGGGGAATATCTCCCAAAAAAGAAGGGAAGAGAAGGAAATGGGAAAAGACTGGGTAAAAACAGGGGGAGAATTATGACAGTAACAGTCTTAAAAGTTAGAGAAAGGATTCAGGAGAAAAGATACAATAAATATAAGAAGAAAAAGAAAAAGAATAAGATAAGATAAAGATGGGACAAAGGGAGAAAAATATTAAGAAGTGTAATTTTGGAGAGACCAAAAGAAAATGGTTAAAAGGGGAAGAATAATGAAGAGAAGGAAGGGAAATAAAGCATATATTAGTTGATTTAAGGGAATTGTTTTAATAGTAGAAATTATATGTAAGAAACAAACAAGATGAAGTATATTGTTTATTGTAAAATGGATCAGCAGATACAGAGTGGATTTGATTTAAATCGAGTCGATTTAAATCATGATTTAAATCATGATTTAAATCACTAGTAAAAAAGGCTTGATTTAAATCAACTCGATTTAAATCATAATTTTTAAAGGGCAACTGTCATCTCTGCTACTCCTTTGACCCGCTGTTGACTCACCGATAGTCCCAGTGTTGCAGAATATACAGCCTCATGCTACTTAACTAAGCTCCATTTCGTGCTGAATAAACTAATTTATGTATCTTAAATAGAAAACTATCTTACGATAGATTTTTACCCCAAAAGTTTTTTATTAAAATAAATTCGATAAAAATAAAAAAAATCCGATTTAAATTTTAAAAATCCGATTTTTTTGATTTTTAAAAAAAAATCATTGATTTTTATCCACCCTGAGCAGATGTAATATGAAATGTAATCTGGTTTAACTATGAAAATAACTGAAATTAAGATATAAAATTGATGGGGATTTAGAAAAAAATGTTTAAATGAGGAAATAAAATAATTAGTTGATTTTAGAATAAGAAATTAGGAATTAAGGAAAATAAGAGGTGGAAGGTTAATTAAGTTAAAGGGTTTCAATGTAAGAATGGAATAAGATGAAATACATTGTTAATAACCAAAAAATGTGATGGGGATTTTGAGAAACATATTCAATAAATGGAGAAAAAATCAGGGTTGCTCGGATACCATTTTGGAAAATATTGAATTGAAAATGAATACAACAATGGAGAGAGAATGGAAAGAGGAATAGAGAGATAGATAGGGAGAAGAGAGGAAGAAGCAGAAGAAAGGGAAAAGGAGAGGAAGAAAGGGAGGGGAAACAAGAGTAGGAGAGAAGGTCAGAAAGGGAGGAAGAAAGGAGGAGTGGGGAAAAGGAAGGGGAAGGAGAGGAGGAAAGAAGAAAGTAGAAAAGGATAGAAGAAGGGAGGGAAGGGAAAAAGGAGAAGGAGAAGAAAGATTGTTTTAAAATAAGGGAGATGGAATGGTAGAAGGGCAACCCCGAGTATACTCAACCCCCGAGTAGAAGGGCAACCCCGAGTATACTCAAACTTGTTAGGATGAAGAATGAACTAATATGAAAGTTAAAAGAGAATATGTATGATTAACAATGGATAAGATAATTAATTGAAATAATGTTAAGAAATTAGGATTTGAAGGGCGGATGGTGATACTGTTTATATAATAAGTATAGAAGGTATTAAGACAAGATAAAAAAGTAGGGAAAAAGAATATTTTGGCATATTGAAATATGTAAATTGTATTGGGATGTGACAGGTTGTATAAGATATGATCCGGTCAATGTATGTATGTATGTATGTATGTATGTATGTATGTATGTATGTATAATATCTATCTATCTATCTATCTATCTATCTATCTATCTATCTATCTATCTTCACATCCTTATATCCATTCAAACAATTCTAGATGTCCCCACTTGGCTGAGAGAGTTGGGTTAAAACCCAAAATAATATGAGGTAATGGTTTGACAATTGGTTATGGCCAATTATGTTTTCTTCTCTTTTTACTGTGCTATGTTGGTGTTTTACAGCTATCTGCTACCAAACTAGAAAAAGCTTTACTTTCCTACTGTGCACTAGTCAGTCTCATCAATAATAATAATAACAACGAAAGCCTGGTTTAATTCAAACATGCTAAGCTATACTGCAGATTTTGCTTCATATAGGAGCATTTTTTCCTTTCAAGAAACAACAATTTTAGTCTTTTATTAGAGATTTAAATCAATTTAGGGACTTTAAAGTATCACTATCAGAGACTTAATGCATTTTTTTAAATAAGCAAAATTGTGTTCAAATAGTAACAATGACACATTTTGTCAGTAAGGAATTCCAGTGGCTTCAAAAATAAGCTGAAAGGCATATTGACTACTTAAAATCTCAGTTTCACATATTATATAAAAACCACAAATAACGGCTAACTTAATAAACTATAATTAAAATATAGTTTAGCAAAAGTGCAAATCCAGTCATAGAATTTTTATGTGTAGAATTACCTTAGAGCTATTATTTATTTAAAATAATATTACAATTTATAATGGCTAAATCTTAGAAAGGCACAATTCCTCTACAGGGAAAAAAAGCATCTATCATGCTTTTGCACAAAAGCAAAAAATGCCGCTGAAGGCAAAAAATACAAAATACTTGTGCAACCTAAACACGAAGGGGTTACAGTCCGGAAGTATTGGATTTAACAACTACAAAATAGCATGCTTATGCTTTTGTGTATTTAAATATCACCCAACTGGGAGATAGTCCAAGGCATTTTGTAGTGTAATTCAAAAATTACAAATATGTGTATGACTGAAATATATGAATGAAATCACCATTTTCTTCAATAATTTCAAAGGTTTGTTTATTTTATGGTAAGTATGGAAAGTGTAAGTCTTTTTAACCTATTTTTGCAAGTTTGAAAGTTTAACCCTCCAAAATAGAAATCAGAACGTAACAGTACTATACCTTTTTCCGCAAAAAGAGGGAACGAAAATTCTTATTATTTGTTCTGAAAATTTAGTCTTGCTCCTTTATTCAAAATGTGAAGGAAACTGCAGACATTCCATGGTTTAAGAAATGTGTTCTATGCATGCTGAGGAACTTTTTTCTCCATTATCAGGCGTTTACTAAACCAGAAGCACCTATCTCCTCACAGGTTTGCACAATAAGGAAACCCAGCCAGCATAGTTTAAAATATTATTTAAACGTTTTCATTCATACGAGTCAGCAACTATAGCTTTTGCCTTCTTGCTTGCTCGGGTTGGGTGGCTCACATTGGAAAAACAAATAAAACACTCAGTCCCAACCTCCTGCCTTTCAGACACGTTAAACGCAAACGGCCGAAATCCCCGACCACGTCCTTTCCGCCTCCCCGCCGCGCTCCGCTCAGCAAGGTAGAAAACGCGTCCGGAAATACCCAGGATTGGCTAGTGACAGGAATCAAATGGAGAAATCACGAGGCGCCGCTTGTCAACTGTAAACTGGACGCTGCGTCGCTGGGTCTACTTCTGATTATTGCGTAGGGAAAAGAGGCGTGGCTAGCAGGCGGGTCGAGGTTGTTGCTGCGGTTCTGGAGCTGAGGACAGTTTCTGTAAAGGGATAGTTTGGCGCCTTTAACACAAAAATGTATGGCATTTTATTTTCGGTAGTAGAACAGCCAACTTCTCTGCCCTGCCTTCCTGGCCATATGGCTTCTTCTTCCAGAAGACTAAAATTTTGAGGCCTTGTTTTATTATAATTGTGAAAAGATTGCAGAATCTGGAAAGCTAGAATGCATGTTGGAAGAATAAAATCCGGTCCAACTCCAAGTTGGGAGAAAGATGCTGGAAATAAATGTAGGCAGGCTGCAGGAAAGCAAGTCTCTGTTTATTCGGTAGCAAGAAACTAGTGACAGCAGCATGTTTTTGGGGTGGTTGACAAAATGGGATTGAGAGTAGGTGGGCTTTTAAACATTCTTTGGGGTTTTGTGATTGAGATGCTTGTTCCTGTTGTGGGAAGCCCCCTCCCTCCCCCCAGAAGAATGAAATATTTTGGGGAATATTAAAAGAGGCAGAATATTATATTAAACTTGCTCTTAGAGGCAGAAGGCAGCCCCAATTTCCTGCATAGTTAAAACAGCCTCCAGCACAAATCTTTAGCGATGGAGATTTTGGGCCCAATAAGAAATCCTTGGGCCAGCCTATTCACAAATAAAATACCTTCACCTCCAGTGATGGGATTAAAATTTACATCCTTCCCCCACCCATATTCTAAGGACAGGATGTGAATTTTTAGGACATAATAGGATTATTGCACCACCCTTAGAATAGCAAGACACCAGGCTCACCACATTGCACAATTCCTGCAGCATTTTAGAAACTATAAAACTCCTTGCACTCATCAAACTAATTTGTCAGCTGCCCCAGAACCACATGTTGTTGCTGGTTCTGCTCATCAATAAACTTTCTTTCCAATCACCCTCCATTTTATTTCCAGCACATTTCTCCCAGTTTGGAACTGAACCAGATGGATTTTTCTTCCTACACTGTGCAAGAGTACGTCCTTCAATATTTTAATGGCTGTTGCCAGATTCCTATGGGGTCATGTAGGGGTCATGGCTGACTCTACAAGCAAAAGAGGAAATGCAAATCCTAGGTGTTTCTCTGAACGAATCTTGTTATCTTTGGCTTGCCTATTGTGTTGCTTATTTGGAGTCTGCTTATGAAAGATTGGCCCAGTCTTTCTGAATAGGTACAAAATCTCCATTCCTAAAGATCAGCCTCTTCAAGCTTCTGCTTGAGGCTCTTTTCCTATAGCAGAAAGATTGGGGCTGTTTTCTACCTTTCTTACAATTTTTCTTTTTTAGGGGAAATATTCTATCCTTTTTAATATTAAGAATAAAGAATATTTTAATCTAGGGAGGGGGGCTTACTACATGCATAAACTACAAAAAACCAAAAGTGTGAAGGAAGAAACTGATTTCACTTCAGATAATAAATGTGTTCTTCAATCCAAAGGTTGCATTTATCTTTGCAGGCATGATGTGTTGATTCAGGAGCTACAAGTCACATGACAAATGACAGACCTTACTGTTAGATCGGCGCAGGGAAAGGAAGACGCGACCAGCTCTGGTCCATTCATGACACCCAGCTGTACATCTCCACCCCAGGCCACCCCAACGATGCCCTTGAAGTGATGTCCCAGTGCCTGGAGGCCGTGCAGGCCTGGATGGGGAGAAACAGGCTCCGACTCAACCCCTCCAAGACCGAGTGGCTGTGGCTTCCGGCGTCCCGATATAGCCAGCTGACGCCATCGCTGGCTATTGGGGGCGAATCGCTCGCCCCCACGGAGAGGGCTCGTAACTTGGGCATCCTCCTGGACGCATGGCTGTCTTTAGAAGATCATTTGACGGCCGTGGCCAGGGGGGCTTTTTATCAGGTCCGCCTGATACGCCAGTTACGCCCCTTTCTAGATCGGGACTCCCTACGCACAGTCACTCGTCACTTCCCGCCTGGACTACTGCAACGCTCTCTACATGGGGCTCCCCCTGGGGTGCACCCGGAGGCTCCAGCTGGTCCAAAACGCGGCCGCGTGGGGGATTATGGGGGCGACGAGGCGCTCCCATGCGACACCTCTCCTGCGCGAGCTGCACTGGCTCCCGGTGGTCTTCCGGGTGCGCTTCAAGGTGTTGGTGACCACCTTTAAAGCGCTCCATGGCTTAGGGCCGAGGTACTTACAAGACCGCCTTCTGCCACCAATAGCCTCCCACCGGCCAGTACGCTCGCACAGAGTGGGCCTCCTCAGGGTGCCGTCCGCCAGACAATGTCGGCTGGCGACTCCCAGGGGGAGAGCCTTGTCTGTGGCGGCGCCCACCCTCTGGAACAACCTCCCCCCAGAGATACGTACAATAACAGACCTCCAGATTTTTTGTCGGGCCCTGAAAACCCATTTATTTCAACTAGCTGGGCTGGCTTGAGTTAAATTTTAAATTGATTTTAAATTGGGTTGTTTTAATTTACGGCCAAAATATTTAATTATTTTAAACTGTTTTTAAATTTTGTATGTTCTGTTTTTTACTTTGGCTGTTCACCGCCCTGAGTCCTATTTGGAGAAGGGCGGTATAGAAATAGGAACAAATAAATAAATAAATAAATTCAGTACCTTTATTTCAGCTCTGAATGAAGATGGACGGCTGTGCTGCCGGAGCTCTTTTATATGCTTCGGCAGACTCAGCCGTCCAATGACAGTTGTTTGAATCTCCCGCCGGTGGATTAGCCAATCCCCGGCGGATGTCCTTATAAGGACATAACACCCCTCCCCTCCTAGTTCGAAGTCTGTCTATCAGCGCTAATGAAAGTCACATAGTCACGCAGGTAGGCAGGACGCTTGATGGTCCTGGCTGACCTGCGCAGTTCCATTTGGGTTTCGCCGCCGGCCGGAGCAGGCAAAGCTCCTGTCCCCTCCGGCTCTCGACCCAGAAGGGTCTGGGGTCCGGCCGTCGAGTGTGCGGGCCCTGTCCCAGCATCTCCGGCCACATCGTCTGGATTTACCTGCTGGTGGCACTGGTCCTTCCGCTGACCGGGATCCCTGGAACCTCGTGGCTGGACATCACTGTCGACCCGGGGGTGACGACTGATGTCCGGTAAGTCCATTTTATTGTCCTTTGCCCCTTGCGGCTTCTGTTGGTAGCTCTGTTGTCTCAGTTGTTGTTGCTGTTGTTGTTGTTGTTGCTCTTGCGTGTCGGCTTGTGGCGGGTGGCCAACCCCGCCGGGGGGTCGCCCGTCTACCGTGTCGGGCTGGTGCAGGTCGACCTCGCTGGGGTGGTCTTGGTCGACCCTGCCGGCGTGATGGTGGTCTCCCTCACGGGGGAGTCATTGGCTGGCTCTGCGGGGGCGTTGTGGGTCTCCCTCCCTGGGTTGTCCCCGGTCTACTACCTTGCATCGGTGGTGGTCTCCCTCACCGGGGTGTGGCAGGTCGCCCTCGCCGGGGGGTTGCGGGTCTCCCTCTGTGTGTTGTCCCCGGTTTACTTCATCGTGAAGGTGGAGGTCTCCCTCGCTGGGGTGGCGAATGGCCTCCTCGTCGGCGCGGTGCTGACTCCCCTCAGGCTGCAGGTACCGGTCTACTCCCTTGGATCGGCGATGGCTTGACTTGCTGAGGTGGTGCGGGTCTACCTCACCGGGGTGTCGCCATCCTTCCTCGCTGGAGTGTGGCAGGCCTACCTCATCAGGGTGTTGTAGGCCTGCCTCCTTGGGGTGTGGTAGGCCTACCTCGTCGGGGTGTTGTAGGCATACCTCGTCGGGGTGTTGTAGGCCTACCTCATCGGGGTGTTGTAGGCCTACCTCGTCAGGCTGGTTTCCTTCCGCTTCCCTCCACCTTTTCCGGAGCTGGTCGATGTGACGTCTACAGACCTGTCCATCTTCCAGCTCCACTCTATAAGACTTTGGGCCGGTTGTGCTCTCAATTCTTCCTTTCAGCCATTTCGGAAACCCGTGGAAATTGAGCGCGAAGACTGGGTCTCCTATGGCAAAGGCGCAGGGGGTGGTGGCTGGCATCCGATGGCACCTCCGGGTTGTACAGGGGGTGCAGCCGGTCCAGATGAGACCTCAGTCTTCTGCCCATCAACAGTTCAGCCGGGCTCTTGTGCGTCGTTGAGTGCAGCGTGATGTGTTGAGTGAGGAGGAACTGGTCCATTCTCTCTTGTCAGTCGCCGGTGCCCATCTTGGTAGGGGCTCCTTTGGTGAGCCTCACCATCCTTTCAACTTGCCCATTTCCGGCCGGTCTGTAGGGGACAATCAGGGCATGACGGATGTCCAGTCCTGCCAGGGACGTTTCCATGGGCTTGGATGTGAGCTGCGGCCCATTATCGGAAACGAGGACATCCGGTAGCCCGTGCGTGGCGAATAGTCTCCGGAGTGCCTTGGTGGTGGCTTCTGTTGTTGTGGATGCCATGGGCACAACCTCCAGCCACTTCGAGAAGGCATCCACAACAATGAGGAGGTATCTTCCGCTCATTGGACCCGCGAAGTCTATGTGGATTCTTGACCATGGATTGCTGGGAGCCTCCCACTCTGTGGACTGGGCACGGGGTGGCGCTGGGCGGACTTCCTGGCACGGGTCACATCTGGCCACCCAGGTCTCTATATCCTTGTCCAGGGTTGGCCACCACACATAGTTTCGTGCCAGCCCCTTCATGCGAACGATGCCTGGGTTCCTCCTATGCAGAGTCTCTAGAGTCTTATGTTGGAGTGATCTGGGAATCACGACCCTGTTGCCCCACAGGAGGCAGCCTTTCATAGTGGCTAGTTCTTGCTGCTTTCTGGGAAATGGGGTGAATTCTTCTGCCATCTTCCCCATGGGCCACCCGCGCAGAACCCAAGATAGTACATGCTTGAGCGTTCGGTCCTTCTGGGTCTGTGATGCCACATCAGCGG